CCAGTTTCTGAACAGTCACCTTCTTTGTTAACATATGTGCTGGATTCTTAATTCCTGGAATCTTTTCCAGTTTCAACACGTCATCTTCCAACAGGGATATGATGAAGTGATACCGAAGCGCAATATGCTTCGTTCTAGAATGAAATACTGAATTCTTCGCCAAGTGTATCGCACTCTGACTATCACTATGCAAAACATTCTTCTCATGTTTGAATCCCAGCTCTGTTAACAAACCCTGAAGCCATATCATCTCTTTACTGGCTTCAGTCACTGCAACATACTCAGCTTCTGTAGTGGATAGGGTAACGATCTTCTGTATCTGTGACATCCAACTAACAGCTGTAGTTCCGACGGTGAATACATAGCCAGTGGTGCTTCTTCGGTGATCAACTTCGCCGCCGAAGTCTGCATCTACGTACCCTTGCAATTCTACCTCTCCCTTACCAAAGTGCAAACACTTCTGTGTGGTGCCTCGTAGATATCTCAGAATCCACTTGACTGCTTCCCAATGAGCTTTTCCTGGATTCGACATAAACCGGCTGACCACTCTCACTGCATGGCCAATATCTGGTCGCGTACAGACCATTGCGTACATCAAGCTTCCGATAGCTGAGGCGTAAGGAACCTGAGCCATACTATCCTTTGACAGACGAAAATGGCTGGCCAAGGGTGTGCTCACAGGCTTGGCGTCGCCCATGTTGAATCTATGCAAAACACGGTTGATGTACTCCGTCTGAGAAAACTGCAAGAGACCTCTCTTCTTATCTCTCGTGATTTGCATTCCAAGGATCTTCTTCGTTGGACCCAAGTCCTTCATGTCAAACTCCTTTGACAGCTGCTGCTTCAAACTCTTGATATCTTTCACATCTGCTCCTGCAACCAACATATCATCAACATACAGCAGTAGGATGATATAGCTGGACTGATATCTTTTGAAGTAGCAACAGTGGTCGGCGTTGCACTTCTGAAAACCTTCCTTGTGCATGAAGCCGTCAAACTTCTTGTACCACTGTCTTGGGGCTTGTTTCAGGCCATACAAGCTCTTCTTGAGTCTGCACACCAGGTTCTTCTTCTTTTCTTCTGAGAAACCTTCTGGCTGGTGCATGTATATCTCCTCTTCTAGATCTCCGTGAAGAAACGCCGTCTTCATGTCTAACTGTTCGAGATGAAGATCTTCAATTGCTACAATACTCATCACGGTCCTGATAGTATTTAGCTTCACCACGGGAGCGAAAATATCGGTGTAGTCAATTCCTTCCTTCTGCTGGAAACCTTTGACAACTAACTGAGCCTTATATCTTCTGGAACCATCTTGCTCCTCTTTCACCCGGTACACCCATTTGTTGTGGAGTGCCTTCTTACCCGTGGGCAACTCAGCTAGTTCCCACGTCTGGTTTGATATGAGAGACTTCATCTCATCTTTCATTGCAAGCTCCCACTTGCTCGCATCTCCACACTGACAAGCTTCATCAAAGCTTTCAGGCTCCCCACCATCTGTCAGCAACAGATAGTTCATGTATCTCCTGTTGGGTACAGGAGGACGAGAAGATCTTCTTAATATCGGAGCTGGTGCGTCGGGCTCCTGCGCACCATCTTGTCCAACAGGCTCTTCTTGCTGAGGACCCTCTGCATTGGGTTCTTCCGAGAGGTTACTCGGGACATCATCTGCATCTACAAATATTGACTCGCTCTCTGAGTTATTTGTCTTGTGCATGTCCTTGTACATCACCTTCTCGTTGAATATCACATCTCTGCTCCTGATCACCTTCTTGTTTTTGTTGTCCCAAATGCGGTAGCCGAACTCATCTTCACCATAGCCGATGAAAGTGTATTTCTTTGACTTGGGATCAAGCTTATTCCTGCCTTGATCACTAATATGCACGTAAGCTACACAACCGAAAACTTTAAGATGTGAGAGTTTTACCTCCTTTCCGCACCATACCTCTTCTGGTATTCTGTGCTCCAATGGAACCGATGGACCTCGGTTGATCAAGTAAGCTGCTGTATTGACCGCTTCTGCCTAAAACTGCTTCGGTAGGCCTGATTGTACTCGAATGCTTTTGGCTCTCTCCGTCAACGTTCGGTTCATTCGCTCAGATACACCATTTTGCTGAGGCGTACCGGGCACGGTTCTTTCCATTCTGATCCCGTGCTCATAGCAGAACTTCTTGAATCCGGTGTCTTCATACTCACCGCCATTATCGGTCCTGCCATGGCTTTCCATCTTCTGAAAGCCTCAAACACTTCTGACTTTTTCTTCAGAAAGTAGACCCATACTTTCCGAGAGTGATCATCGATAAAAGTCACGAAGTAGTGTTTTCCACCAATGGACGCGGTGGTTATTGGTCCTCACACATCGGAGTGAACGAGCTCTAGCTTCTCTTTCCTGGGGGTTTGCCACTTATCTGAAAGCTGACTCTCTTCTGCTTTCCAAGTATACATTCTTCACACATATCCATCTCCACTGACTGCAGTCCTGGGAGTTTCCCCTTTGTGTGCATGATCTTCATCCCCTTTTCACTCATATGACCGAGTCTCTGGTGCCACAGCTTTGAAGTCTCATTGCCTGCTGCAACTGAGATCAAACAACGTGCACCTGCTGTCATATATAGGGTACCAGTCTTCCTGCCTCGGGCAATCGTCATTGCGCCCTTTGAGATCTTCCAATCACCTCCATGGAAGGTTGTGCTGTCATATACAGGGTACCAGTCTTCCTGCCTCGGGAAATCGTCATTGCGCCCTTTGAGATCTTCCAATCATCTCCATGGAAGGTCGTGGTATATCCTTCGCCAGCCAACTGACCTACGGATATTAAGTTCTTTCTCAGGTCGGGAATATGCCTGACATCCTTCAGCTCCCATACTGACCCGTTCAACTTAATTTTCACCACGCCTTTGCCCACAATAGCACATGGTTGATCATCACCAAGATATACGTATCCAAGATTTCCGGGGGTATACTTCTCGAAGAATTCTTTCTGAGAGGTAGCATGGAACGACGCTCCTGAATCTAACACCCAAGATTCCTCCTTGCTCTCCAAAGAGCATATCAATGCGTCGTCTCCTCCTGAAGTGGAGGTGACATTCACCTCTGCCTTCGCTTCCTTCTCCTTCTGTGCGCTCTTGCACTGATTCTTGTAATGCCCGGTCTTTCCACAATTCCAACACTCGATAGCCTTCGAGCTGTTGCTTGGATTCCTTGACTTGGACCTCCTGTCCTTTGATCTACCTCTGAAGTTTGATTTTCCTCGTCCGTTTCCTCTGGTTGAATTTCTACCTCTTGACTCTGTATGCAATACTGAAGAGGTTGTAGCTTCACCCGTCTCTCTCCGTCGGATCTCCTCACTGAGAACCAAATCACGAACGTCGTCGAACTTCAACTTTTTCTTTCCGTTGTAGCTTCACCCGTTTCTCTCCGTCGGATCTCCTCACTGAGAACCAAATCACGAACGTCGCCGAACTTCAACTTTTTCTTTCCCGACGAGCTACTCACAGCTGTGACTGTAGCGTTCCAACTCTCTGGTAGGGAAGACAAAAGTATCAACGTCCGAACTTCCTCATCAAACTCAATCTCCACTGAACTCAATTGGGTTGTAACTGTATTAAGTTCATTGAGGTGTTGTGCTACTGACGCGCCTTCCGCCATTTTCAGATTGAATAACCGCCGCATCAAATGAACTTTGTTCGCGGCTGTGCGGGTTAACGTCAAACGAATAACCCCGAGGGCTTTTCTGTCCAGAAGATTCCAATCTTCTTCCTTCATACCCTCCGGCTTCTTCCCCGATAGTGGTTGATACAGATTTTTCTGATACAGATAATCCTCTATCTGCATTTTCCAGAATTCGAAATCTGTTCCATCAAATTTCTCAAGTCTCATTTTTGCCTCATCTGCGGCCATGGCTCCCACTTGAATCTGACTTTCTCTAGATCGTTTCACGCTCTGATACCAGTTGTTGGGAATCTGAGGCTGAAATCCCTAATGCAACAGAAACGCAATATAGAGAAAAGTACACAAGATTTACGAGGTTCGGCAACTGCCTACGTCCTCGGGAGCCACGCAGATAATTTCTTATTAATCAAACAAGAAATTACAATTATAAGAGCAGATCAAAAATGAGATCTCTCAAATGAACACTGTAGCTACAGTGTTAATAATTAAAGGATATGAACACTTTCAATTCTCACTTGAGAATAAATAAATACCCCACAATATAAAGCACCCCTTCTTTAATGATCTCTCTCTCTCTCTCTTTAATCCCCTCTCTCTCTCTCTCTCTCTCTTCTTAAATCCCCCTTTTAATCTCCCCTCAAAATCCTAACTCTGAGTGCTGGAGAAAAAAGGAAACGAAGAACGAAAAGGGAAAAATCGCCGCCAGAGACGAATCGGAGGAAGGGGGAAAAAGCCAAAACCCTAGGTCGACGGGAGAGGGGCTTTTATAGACGGAATTGACAGGCTGGCGACAGCCTGTCGCCAACCACGCGAGCGTCCCTCTTTGACGCCAAGGTCGGAGGCCCCGAACGCAGAGGTCGGCATCGCCAAACGCAGAGGTCGGATCCCTGTGACGCAGAGTTCGAACCGCCAAAACGCCGAGCTCGAAAAACGCCGAGGTCAGGGTGGCGTTCGATCGCGGAGCTCGAGCTCGCCTGCGACAACTGAAGCTTGTCTGCGCCATCCTGGAGCTCGTCGAAGCTCCTCCGCCGTCGGAGGTTTGTATCCACTCCCAATTAACAATTCTATAGAGGATTTGCCACATATCTATGTTTTTTTTTTTTAATTCGCGCTTGGATTCCTAAGATTCAAGCCTGTTATTGTTAAATGCAGGTCACAATTGCAATTTTTTTCTAACTGCAAAAGGATTTTATCGCATCCAAGGATAACTAGCAAATCAAAACAAACACATTACGAGCAATTGCAGTCACCAATTTCTAAATTTAAAAACTGAACCAAATAAATAAAACTACAGTCGTAAACAATAACATTGCAGAAACTATCGTCACATACAACCGACGTTTACATTGCAAATGTACAGTCGCGAGGAACCATGCACTCGCATCAAATATCAGCTCGGATCCTCACTAAGAACACGCAAGGACTCAAGCCTGAAATTAAATTCACGCATAAAACACCTACATATCCCTTCGAACCTTATTCATAACACAAACATCACATTAAACTCTCATAACAAGGGCCCAAACTTCTTCAGCCCCGATAAATTTAAGAAACATTAGTAATTAATTAGTTTGTTTTCCTGCAATTGGTCCTGATCTCCCCATTACTCCCAGTTAGAGGACTAATGCCTCCCATCTTGACCATCGCCGCGGCAAAGTCACTGTAAAACTTTGCGGCATCGCTCGAATAAGTCGTCGTCTGAGAGTCTGCAGACCCCCCGTTATACAACTGCTGGTCAGAATGCATGAGCCCCTTGTTTCTGATGAGATTCTTGTAGTAGTAATTGTCGAATACGTAGGGAGATACGGCGTCCAAAGGGCTGAGGCTGTCGTCGCTGCCGGAGGTCGGGCAGTTTGATTGGAGGGAGGTAGCGAAGGAGGAGGCGATGTTGGTTTCATTGTAGACTCGGGTTCTGAATGATGTGCACCTTGCTTGGCCTATAGTGTGTGCACCTGAGAAAATTAGGTAATTGAAGCTTAGTAGGTTAGTTTTTGTCCCCGTTGTTTTGACCTTAGGGCATGGTTGGGAACTTTGCTTATAATTCATTTGTGAATTACAATCCAAGTGGATTATAGGTCAAAGTGTGTTTGGCTAAAAAAAAGGGTGGATTATAATCTACTTTCAATAGGAGAGCTAGTGTTTGGCGAATGGATGGATTATAATTCATCGTCGCTGTAAAAATGGCCAAGAAGGACATGACTCTAAAAGTAATCAGGTTGGAGATAGAGGAATAGATTGACTTTGGAATTATCTTAAATGTTGAAGAATAAACTGGTCATTTACTTGGTTAAACTATGTGGCTTATAAGTCAAATTAAAAAAGCTGGGTATAGGTAGCTGTTTTTTTTTTTTTTGGGTATTCATAAACCAAAATAACCTGTTTAGCAAACATGTCTTAGTGTCATATAAGACAGTTGACCAATTTCCAGACGTGCTCTTACTAGCCCTTTAGCTAGTTTTACTGTTGCAGATGGACCCCCTCTGTGAATTTTTTTTCTTCACTCTTCTACCTTTCGGAGGGTATTTTTGTCAAAAAAAAAAGACAATTTTCTCTTTCTATGAGGATAATACTTTGGAAGCGATTCATGTACCTGAGAGAGCTATCATGTCAGTGGTGCTAAGTCCCTTCTTTGAGAAGGCCGATATCAGAGGGCTGAGGTCGGTAGTAGGCGAAGGAATGTCGTTGTTCGCGGCGCTAAAACTCGCAGTCGTCGCATCTCTCCTCCCAAGCTGCACGCTCCATGAAGGTCCACCCAACTATACACATACCGATCACACGAAAATCATACCCCAAGTAACATCACCCGAGTATAATAATTTTACGCCAATTTTAATAAAATTTCCGTTTTTTGTTAGGATTATTTCATGTTTATATGTTATTTAATAATTTGTCTAATTAAGATGTTTGTTTTTCAAGCAAGAGAATTATTAATAGGTCTTACGTACAGCAACAACGGCGTCTCGAGCAGCCACAGCTAAAATATCAGCACACGACACAGCTTGTTTGCAGACTGATTCAACTTGGGATTTGATGGTGTCAACAACGTCGAATCCTCTGAGCGAGTTGTTGTTCGGTCCAGCCGTTTTCTCTCCAGTGAAGCTCGATGTGTCGTCTAATAGTATCGATCCATCACAGCCCTGCATGTCGATCATCAAATCAAAACATCAAATGGTGAACCAAGGGCATGCATCATGTATGATATTGTAATATTATGATTTTGACAACAAAATGATATTTACAGAATCAGCAAGTTAAGACGTGCAATGAAAGTCACGCATGCATTTGTTTCTTTGATTCAAAGAGTACAAATGTATAAGAAATGCGTATGTGACATGAAGCATAAAATACTTAGTTGAAGCTTTCAGTATTCTAGGATATATCATACATATGCTGGTAGTTTTTTTAAGAATATCTACGCCAATAGTTATTAATAATTAGGGTATAATTATTCGTATTGGAGCTAGCTAAATAGCCATATATATGCTAATAGTTATTTAACTAGCTCCGAGATAAACATGCTTCATATTAAGAGATAAAGATAAGAAATATGCTGACTAAAAGGGGAAAAAATAACATTAGACATGAGTTTATGTAACACTTGCATTCACAAAACAATCGTGAAAATGTAGACGAAGCAGCGACGCCCCCATGCGTCGCTCCTTCGACACTGCAGCGCTAACCGCAGCGTGTATGGTTTCTAGAGCTTTAGGGCATGAAGCATTATAGAATGTAGTAGAGAGTTGAGCAGAAGCTAGGCCCACGATGAAGAAAATGAGGAAGGCTGCAGAGAATGAGAAACTAGTGTTTGAAGCCATTATAGCTAAAGGATTAATGGATTATGAGATACAAAAGATTTAGGCGTGCATGTATTTATATAGGGTGAAGAGTATGAAAACCTAATGGAATTTATCTTTGAATATTGCTACTTGAAGTTTAATATTGTATTAGGGTGAGATTTTGAAGTCAATGTTAGAAAGTTGAAGAGCCTACTCGATATGCCGGAAAATAGCGGTAGTCGCTATGCGATGATCCACCTACCGTGCGCTACAATGTTTGCCTACTTAATTTTCTGGCCAATATGTTAGAGAACTTACTCTTTAAAAAAATAACTAAATTATTGTGGGGGAAATCTTGCATTTATACCATGTTTATCACAACAAAAAACTTTCAAATGTTTATACACACACATATTGTTGTGCGCGGCGCGGAAGCGGTCGAATCACACACAATCCAAATAAGAGAGATCACAACCAAATAAACAAGCACAGTCACCAAATAACACAAGAGATTTACGTGGTTCGGTAAATTGCCTACGTCCACGGGGCAAGAAAGGGGATGTGGTTTTCACTAATAGAGAAAGAGTACAAACTGGGATTACAAGGCTGCAGCTTTAAAGACTCTATGGGACATACACACTAACAAAGAGCTTCTATGGGTTAAATGGGTCCATGGTACATATCTCAGGAACATGAATGTATGGCAAGTGGAAATCAAAAACAATGATTCCTGGTTATGGAAGCAGCTGCTGAAAATCAGAAACCAAGCTCTGGATTATTGTGGAGGAGTGGATAACCTAATTAGCCTAATTAACTCCTGTTGCAAGAGCTCAAAAATCATCCTGTCAGATTTATACCATGCTCTTATTTCCTATTACAAACAGAGTGCCAGTACCATGGAGTATCACAATTTGGGGAAAGCTAAACTACCCTAAGCACTCTTTTATTTCTTGGTTAGCAGTTCAAGATAGACTACTAACTCAGGATAAGCTGCTAAAAAGAGGGATCATTCAAATCAACAAGTGTGTGCTATGTGCAGGGTCAGGAACTGAAACTCGTAATCACATGTTCTTTGAATACAAATTTTTGACTGATATATGGAATGCAGTTATGAACTGGTTGCAATTCCATTGGAAAAGCTGTGACTGGAACCTTTTGATAGGTTGGTATGAAACTAACCAAAGGAGGAAAGAATTCAAGATCAATGTTAAAAGGATGGCTCTCACCTCCTCAATTTACAACATATGGCTGGAACGTAATGGGAGGATTTTTAAGCAGTCTTACAGGAGTGTGGAGCAAATCATCAAATGCATCAAAATGGACTTAATGTCAGTTATCCTTAACAATGAGATGCCATGGAATTACAAAAAATGGTTGATCTCTTTATAAGCATAGCAGGATGCAATCTGATGTCGGAGGATACACTGCCTGGTAGTGTCAGTTGTTCTGAAACAGCAGCAAGAAGCCCAGGAGATGCATAAACCTATTGTTGTGCTTTTTGAGCATATCTGGTGCATAAATTTTCTTCTTTTGAACTCTAGATACAAATCATTGTCATCTCACAAATTATGATGAGATTCTTGATGTATATATTCCTTCATATTGGTTGATGAATAAAATTTTTCATTTACCAAAAAAAAACAAGCTCTTAATCTCTCCAAACAAAACCCTAAACAAATAGCTCAGAAAATACCTCTTTTCTGTGCTCCAAATATCCCTAATTTTCTTCTTTATTCTCTCTTGTTCCATATATATAGAAATCTTAAAATCATAAACAAACTAGGAATTCTAAACCAAAAGCCAAAACAAATTAGGAATCCTAATAACCTATTACCAAAATAGATTAGGAATCCTAATAACCTCATGTTACCAAAATAAATTAGGAATCCTAATAGATTAGGAATATTGCTATCAATTAGGAATACTGCTATCCAACAATTCTCCACCTTGGCGAAGTTTTTCCAAAACTGAGCCGACACCAATACAAACCAAACGTCTCACTTGTTGCATCCAGTACGAAGTAGAACAAATCCACGACAACGGACTCAATCCATAACAAGTCGAGAACCCAAACGAGAATGCGAACAAACTCCAAATGTCGGTATCAACTCACCAAACCGGCTGTATCATAAATGACTGCCTACGTATCCTCTTGCCCAAGAAATCAAGCATTCACGTAGTTCACCAAAATGGCCTCCAAAAGCCTCAATCCACTAGAAGAGTTCGCAACACTTCTCCAACATCATAATCAAGTCTACGGCTGATAACACCTCAAATGGCCCCAAACTGAAACAATCCAAACATCTCCACCTGAGATGAACCAATGGTCATATCCAAACTACATCTATCAGCTGCACTCGAATCAATCAACCTATCATCTGCATCTAAATCAACACGATTCCCAATCTGTGTCACATCATCTAGAATCCCAAATGATACAGTATGATCTGGAGTCTCCACCCAACGTGGAGTAGCATCACTCTCCACCCGCTGCGATGTCCTAAAGATCTGATCACCACTCTCCACCTGTCGAGAGTCAAAAGTGACATACCTGCTCAGAACAAAGTCAGAAGCCAATATCTGATAATCAAACACGCTTCTGACTCCCAAATGTGCTATCGGATCAAATCTCACATCCACAATGTGACCAAGTGCTGGGTAGCCAAACATCTAATGTAACCCAAAATCTGAAGCAGCTCCACCAGATCCCATATATCTACATGCAGCAATCGACAACCTATGGCTGAGATGATCCAAATATGTCGAAGCTCTAAAACCAATGCCAATGCTCGACATCAAATGCCTATCCTCCTCCAGAAAGGAACAGCTCCCCAAATCTGCCATCTCTTCACATTGCCTCAAAGTTTCCACACCAATGAAGTGTCTCCTATTGCCGTGAGCTCGGCACAAACACAAGAAAGAACCCCTACCATAATCAGAACGTCGAGTTACATTTCTACCAACACACTTCCTCCATCTGTTACGGGCTTCTCAGACTTCACACCAACGGGACTTGGTTACAACCCACTAATGCCTAGAGCAATCCCCAACTACGGAAACCACATACCTATTGCCTCCCAATGATGCTCTCTTGGAAGGCCCCCGAATGCCTGAATGAGCACCCCTCAGAAGACCCCTCGAATGATGGATAGAAGTGCCAAACTCCACCTCGGTCTTCTTGCTCATACCAATGTGTTCACAGAACTTCAAACTGCAGGTCAAAGCACTCATCAACAACCTATACACGGCATTACCAATCAAATAACCCAGCATCAAACAACGTCGTCAGCTCCCTATCAATCGTCGTACATCCGAGCAAATAATACAAATTGCTCCTTCTGACGCCCTTCATCACAATCATGGACCCCAATATGACCTTCAAGCGTGCGTCCATGTCACGCCCCGCTTCCCAAAATACCAGGGAATCGGGACGCGAGTAAGCCCACGACGTATTAAACTGAGAAGAGATAAGTGCTAGACCTCGTCTTCTCAATCTAATACGCTAAGCATCAAGAAATACAAACGAAGGCACAGGTCCCCGATCACAGTAATGAGAATATAATAAACAACTCAGAATCAAAAGATACATATCACAACTGAAATGATCATCCAGACATAATATTCAGGCCAAACATGCCCTTATACAAACTATCTGAATGAAATACTGGAGAATATAAAATACAATGATCAGGCGGAATAAAATGGAGGACCAATAACTAAGCTTCGGCTTCTTCTGCTCGGTCTATAGAGCACTCCTGCGGGGAATCATCTGGCTCCTGTACGACTCCGAACTGAAGCTGTCCATCATCTAAATCTGACGTACACCAGAGGAAACAGGTGTACGTCAGGGTGCAAGGCACACGGCAAGATCCCAAAAAGGGAGAAAAGAACGGTCGAGCGACTAATGCAATAATGGTAATAACGATGAAAACATACAACTGAAAGTCTAAATATAATTTACTGCCAGAATAGAATAATCATAATAAATCCAAGGGAATCAACCAAGTAACAAGTCGATCATGCAGCTAGTGATCAGAATAATCATCCAAGTACAGAGTTATACACTAGATGGAATTAATACTTAAAAATCTACAACAAGAGATGTAGTACGTCGAGCGAAATAATCCAAACAAGGAAACCCTCATGTATATACCATATGTCTTAAATTATAGATAATTAAATATTAACCCCGATCTATGTATGGAAAGAAATACAACCGATCTACGTCTCACAAGGATCCATAAATCCTAACCAAAATGACGATACCGATTCACCTTGACTCAACAAACCAACCACAGTGGCGACACTGATCCACTGGTAACAAGTCATGTAACTAGTCATTCTATAACAGATCACTGGTCACATCTCACACAGAGCCAACGCTCATATCACCGGATAATTGACTGTTCACAAATCTCCTACGTGCATCCAAACCCACGAAATGGTTCGGTGAGAGGACTACACGCAATCTGATTTCGGCCTGGTTCGAACAGTAATAAACACAACTAATCATATACAGCAAGATCATAACATATCACATAATTAAAATTAAGAAACATAAATCATGAAAAATCCATAATAATTCTTTTATCAAATAAATTCTATTAATTTATTATAATTACTCTAAAATGATTTTTCACCAAAATAATTTATTATAATTATTTTAAAATGATTATTTTGTCAAATAAATCCTTAAAAAATCATAAACTAATCTAAAATAATTTTATCTTATTTTATCTTTATAGTATCTATATTCAAAATATTATTTTTAGTATCATTCATCAAATAAATCCGTACAGGTCATCACAGTATATGTATTACAATATGAATGGTCATACGTTATTGTCCACAGTCCGTTAAACATAAATCATGAAAAATCCATAATAATCCTTTTTCTAAAATAAATCCTTTAAAAATATTTATAAATATCCTAAAATAATTCTTTTTATAAAACTTTCTTAAATTACTGAAATTATTCTAAATTAATTCTTTTATCAAATAAATTCTATTAATTTATTATAATTACTCTAAAATGATTTTTCA